CAACTCTCTCTCTCTCTCACACTCTGTTTTTTGTTGAATTAACTCCTATTATAGGTTTCAGCAGGTTGTGCTTGACCCTGCTAACTTGGTTGGGCACATGAAAATCCTTTTGATTAATATGTGTATCTTATAAACAGAAGAAGTGAAAAACATACCCAACGTCCCAGCCAGGTTGCCAAATGGAACATACAGAGGATGAGAGATAAGATACCTATGGGTTTTCTTGTAGAATCAGAAATGGAAGGATACATTAGTTCATCTCATGTAAGATTGTTCCCTAAAATATGCTGAATGACAGATTTCACTATTAGGAATTTCTGACCAGCTGTATTTCAAAGCATATAAAAGTGCTAGAATGTTTGGTTTGGAAATGCTTTAAAAAGTTTTAAAAGCTCATGTTTAAAACACCACTCCGTTACAGGGGTCCACGTTTGCAAAATGTGTTCTTTAGTACTGTGCATGCAATCACTTGTCCATACAATGGCGCTCGCACAACTGATGCAAGACACATTGTTCACACAAAATAAGATCCTTTGAATATGTGGCTCACTGCATCAATTGGAGCTTAGTTGTTGGGAGACTTAGATTGATACACTAATAACCATGTAAAAGTAACTTTGAATAAACAAGGGGTTTGTGGGAATGAGGTGGGGATTTGTACAACCCGTTTGATTGGCTTTCCACATAGAATAGACTGAATTCGGAATGCCTGTCTGCATAAAATGAATCTGTTGTAAACACTGGTTTGATACCCTGGAGAATGCCTGCACTTCAGTGATGCCAAAATCATGAAGCCTGATCCAGATCTCACTTACAGAGGAGTAAATGAGAAGTAAGCTATAGTGAAATCACTGGCATGCCAAGGAATAAAACTGATGTGAAATCAAAAACTAGACTCTTCATGTACATTGTGTATAACAGACAGAACCTACATCCCAAGACTCAGGGTACGTCTAGCCTACCGCGTTTTGTCGACAGATACTGTCGACAAAACTTCCGTCGACAAAGAGCGTCCAGACACATTGAGTTCTGTCGACAAAGCAAGCTGCTTTGTCGACAGAACTCCGTAGTCTGGACGCAATGTTACAGGCAATAACACCTTCTGTCGACAGAGTTCTGTCAACAGAAGGTGTTATGCCTCGTAAAATGAGGTATACCAGTGTTGACAAAACTGCTGAGTTCTGTCGACGTTATGTCGACAGAACTCAGCGGTAGTGTAGACGCTGGTATAGTTTTGTCGACAAAAGTCCACTTTTGTCGACAAAACTAGGTAGTCTAGACACACCCTCATTGAAAACAGAGATTTGAAGTCTAAAGCCTGCTTCACCCATTGAAGGCCAGTTCAGCTAGAACTGTAAGAAACCCTTCTGCATGCTTGCAATCCACTGCAGGATCATTTTAGTGATGTGGCACACAATCTTCTCTAACTTTCTAGCTTTTGGGATAGTCCACACTCCAATCTCAGTAGGAAATGAAGTACACCACACTTCTCAGAAATAACAGCCCAGTTCCCTGCTTCACTTTATGTTAAGTTTCCCATCAGTTGTCACTTACCTATTTGGTTTTAGGGAGGCAGGTGACTCCCTGGTACTTTGAAAAGACGTTTTGGCTAATTTAGAATACACTGGAAGCAATGCAGTGAGTAACCACTGTTAGCTGGAACAGCTGCCCTTCTATTAATGTATTATTATTTAATATGCATTTGTATTATTGTAGCATCTAGGAGCCTGAGTCATGGACCTGAACCCCATATTCTCTACAAAGACAGCATAAATAGAAGGCCCTCACCCAAAAGGGTTTACAGTCTAAGTAAACTGACCCACAAAATCTGATGTGAAACCGTCTCATTTTAGCAAATATATATATTTTTGAAAAGACGAAATAAAGAGCTGCTCTAGGTCTCTTTTGACCCCATGGACAGAAGATTACCCTGCCTCCCAGAGGAGGAGGAGGAGGAGGAAGTCCGACCACTGGCGGACTATTCATTTTAAGGACTAAACTGCAATTGTGGAGAAATATAAACCTTGCAGCTTAACCTAAACCCTGAACATAAAATTCATCTTTAAGGAATCCCCTTCCCCAACTTTCTGATAGTTTGCATTCCACACTCAAATCTGGATATCAATTTTGCAAATGGCCTTCGTTTTTGCAGGGAGACCAAACCTGCATCCCTGAAGCCAATGGATGTTTCTCTAGCGACTTCAAGGGGTGCTGGCTCAAGGCAAGAATGAGAAAAATTAAACTCTGCATTCTGATCACCACCAAACTTTAAGATGCTTGATACCTAGACAGGAGAAATCTGAATTTTGTGGCTTAAGCCAACTCTTTGGACAGATGCACAAAACTGACTATCCAGCCCAAACTTTATTACGCAGGCCTATCTGTTGATATCTCATGCATGCACATTCTGTTTTCTTCTTGTCTAGGTAACACAATATGCTATACAAATGATAAAAATGGCTTTGACTGATTTCACTTTCTGTACAAAATGCACTGAACAGACTTTGGGAAGGAAAGATGGGATTATTGAAGATGTTGGCATCTGATAGCACTGCGCCTCTTCCACTGTATTAAGCTGCTTCAAATCATGTAGTGACTTGACAAGATACAATAATGTAACATGATTGGAAATGGTATCACACATGTTAAAAAAAATTCAAAGGAAAGGAAGTCCTTGTTCTGGAAGGGATTATACATTTCAGAGTAGAAGGGCAGTCCCTCCAGCTGTCGGGTGAGTACGTAGATAGAAAATTATCAGCTAAACCAAAAAATAGTCTAAATACCCTTGAGTGCTTAGCATCACAGATCGAAGTCGTTATGAGCAGATAACGAACAAGATAAATATAATCACCAGAACTAAAACAAAATGTAGGTTTAAATTTTAATCTGCACACGAGTCCAATTCAAACATTGTTCCGCTTTCCTAAGGGATTAGTAATTATTATGAAAAATAATATTGATACATCTTGAGTTACTTTCTTTGGAACGTGTTGCAATCTGCTTCCTCAGAGACCTCACGTTAAACAAAATCAACAGAATGGCAACCCCTTACAGTGTGTTTCTGTAACCTCATGTGTGCGCTATGTGATAATGCAGAAATCAGATTGTGGACCAAATGGGTTGAAGTGGCAAAGTTTTTTTTTTTTCCAAAGGGGCCAGGTGTATTTTGAAAAGTAACAATGCTCTGGAATGAACATGATGCGTATTATGCTATTACCTAAGGCAAATGAAATCAACAGGACTTAATGCTCAATGCTGACTCAAGGTCCAAATTTCCAGCTTTAATTGGCTTGGTAGCTTTGAAATTCGTTGAATATGGTGTTTCAGCAACAGATTAATGGCGGATTACTTTAGAGTATGATAGATAGATAGATAGATAGATAGATAGATAGATAGATAGATAGGGATAGATGGGGATGGATGGGGATGGATGGGGATGGATGGATAGATGTTGTCTGAAATATGAATAATGGACCAGATCCTAGTCTCAGAGGGGTGGCTATGTTAGTCTGTAACTTTAAAAACAATGAGTAGTCCTGTGGCAGCTGAGAGACTAACATACATACAGACAGAAACACAGACAGACAGATAGAATCATGAGCTTTTGTGGACAAAACCCACTTCATCAGGTGAGCTGGAGAAAGATAACAGAAACCCAAAGGGATCATATTAGGAAATGTTCCAAAAATAGCTTTGATGCTCACTAGCTATCTGTTTAAACCATAGAATCTAGATTACCAGAAATTTCTCCATATGGGCCCCAACACTGAATCATAGAATAATAGGACTGGAAGGGACCTCAAGAGGTCATCGAGTCCAGCCCCCCGCCCTCAAGGCAGGACCAAGCTCCACCTACACCATCCCTGACAGATGTCTATCTAACCTGTTCTTAAATATCTCCAGAGAGGGAGATTCCACCACCTCCCTTGGCAATTTATTCCAATATTTGACCACCCTGACAGTTAGGAATTTTTTCCTAATGTCCAATCTAAACCTCCCCTGCTGCACTTTAAGCCCATTACTCCTTGTCCTGTCCTCAGAAACCAAAAGGAACAAATTTTCTCCTTCCTCCTTGTGACACCCTTTTAGATATTTGAAAACCGCTATCATGTCCCCCCTTAATCTTCTTTTTTCCAAACTAAACAAGCCCAGTCCATGAAGCCTGGCTTCATAGGTCATGTTCTCTAAACCTTTAATCATTCTTGTCGCTCTTCTCTGTACCCTTTCCAATTTCTCCACATCTTTCTTGAAATGTGGTGCCCAGAATTGGACACAGTACTCCAGCTGAGGCCTAACTAGTGCAGAGTAGAGTGGCAGAATGACTTCACGAGTTTTGCTTACAACACACCTGTTGATACAACCTAGAATCATATTTGCTTTTTTTGCAACAGCATCACACTGTTGACTCATATTCAACTTGTGGTCCACTATGACCCCTAGATCCCTTTCTGCCATGCTCCTTCCTAGACAGTCGCTTCCCATCTTGTATGTATGGAACTGATTGTTCCTTCCTAAGTGGAGCACTTTGCATTTCTCTTTATTAAACCTCATCCTGTTTACCTCTGACCATTTCTCTAACTTGCTAAGGTCATTTTGAATTATGTCCCTATCCTCCAAAGAGGTCGCAACCCCACCCAGTTTGGAATAAGTGATTAAATTTCTGTTTGTTAGTTTCACACTCTTTTGTGGATTTACTTACAAGCTACAAGCAAAGGCCACACCCACTAAGGGTGCCTCTATACAGCACCCTAAACTCGAAATAAGATATGCAATTTGTGCTACACAAATTGTGTATCTTATTTCGAATCTATTTCAAACTAGCTTATTTTGAAATTTGGCGCATCTACACAGTGCCAAATTTTGAAATAATGCCCTATTTCAGGCCATCCCTTAACCTTCGTGCAACGAGGTTTATCGGGATGGTGAAATAGCGCACCTGTTATTTCAAAAAATATTTCAAAGTCATGGGCGACTTGTGTAGATGTGGGGTAGCTATTTTGGGATACCTCAGGTGTCCCAAAATAGCCATGCAGCATAGACTACCTGAGTCATGTCTGGCTCCTTCTGGGTATGGCTACAAGAAGAAGCAATCTCATTTTGGAGCCTACATGGAAGCACGTACAGCCATGCAGAACATGCCTGTGATCATTCTATCACCATCACCCCATAAGGTCTTGGACAAAGAAAGTCTAATCAGAATTTGACCCTAATTTTTGGGAGAGTATTTTCTGTGGGAATTCATCCTGGCAATAGAAAGCCTGACGGTTGCTAGACACTGCCTCGTGATTTATATTGTCCGAGAGAGAACAAACAAGAAAGCATCACATGAGGACAGTTCTGCCAGAAATGGACATTAACAGTTCTAGATAGTGAAGAAAACAATATACTAGAAGCCCTCATCATTCGTGGGGGGGAGGGAGGAGGGCGGGTACATTCTTGAGATCACCACAAATGGCAAAATTTGGAAATGACAGAGGCGAGAGGTGGCCCCAACAGAAAACAAACACATTTTCCCACCCACTTCTAGTTTCTGGCAGTGTCCACATACAATAGTGATGAATTGTGAGTCTCATGATATTAAGATCTATGATTGTGTGTCACAGTGTCATATTCCCAGTGAAACTTCCTGATCCTGTATGGCCCTGTTTGCCAGAGTGCACTGAAAAAGCATCGTCGGGTTGTCACATGTGCTTGAGCAGGTGCGCCGCTAATCTGCGAAACTGCAGATACCGACACCACAAATGGAGAGGGCTTCCTGTAAAAAGTCAAAAAAGGCACTTGAACATAAATAACAAAGAAAAACCAAGTGGAATGTGTATTGATTCAATTTCTCTAGTCACAGAAAGGAACATGCATTTAGCGGTTACTACGTACAGTGTAAAGGTCAAATTATGAGAGGCCCTTACTCAAGCAAACTCCTTGGGTAGAGTACTGCTCTGAGACGTCAAGATCTACGTTCTAGTTCTGGATCTATTTCTAACCACTGGCTTTCTACGTGACCTGAGACAAGTCACTTCATTTCCATGGGTCTTTGTTTCTTCTCCCATCATTTTCCTGTCTAGTCTACTTAGACTTTAAGATAAGTGGGGCAGGGTCTGTTATGTGTCTGTGCAGGGTCTAGCATAAGGGGGGGATATTTAGAGTGGGCTTCTTTGTCCTCTTTGGAGTGGGGCCTCAAGAAGCTATTTTAATAGATATAATAATTAGAGTTGTGTGATGATCTCATTTCTTGAAGCCAATCCCCTCTCCATGTCACCCCCTCCCCAATAGTTGTGATCAACTCACAACAATTTTTTTTACATATATTTCAATGAGTTGAAAAAAAATCAGAACATTTTCACTTCGAATCAAATGATATGATTCCTTTCACTGCTGGGTGCTATTAGCCTTTTTGAAAAAGAAATTGCAGTAAAACTTGAAACAAAAACACTTGGAATGGAAACAAAACATTGAAACATTGCCTTTTGAAAATGTCATTAAAAAGTTTCAATTTTTTTCCAGAATTTTCTTCTTCTTTCAACCCAAACAACATGGTGCAGTCAACCTACATTTACCAAATGTTTTGATTTATCCAAATCTGCCTTTTTCAGCATAAAAATGCTGCAGCAGCAAAATTTTGTTCAACTCCAGTTATAAAAGGTGTCAGTCTTTCTACTTTGAGTTAGGCTTGTGCTGGATACCACTGTGATTCCACGCTTTCCCCAAACCTTGGAACATTCACATTCAGGATTCTGATACCCATAGGCTGTGTCTAGACTGCATCCCTTTTCTGTAAAAGGGATGCAAATTAGACATATCACAATTGCAAATGAAGCAGGGATTTAAATCCCCCCGCTTCATTAGCATAAAAATGGCTGCCGCTTTTTTCCGGCTCGGAAAAAAGCGCCAGTCTAGACGCGGATCTTTCGGAAAATAAAGCCTTTTCCGAAAGATCCCTTATCCCTTATTTTAAGAGGGATAAGGGATCTTTCGGAAAAGGCTTTATTTTCCGAAAGATCTGCGTCTAGACTGGTGCTTTTCTTCGGCAAAGCTCCGAGCCGGAAAAAAGCGGCAGCCATTTTTATGCTAATGAAGCGGGGGGATTTAAATCCCTGCTTCATTTGCAATTGTGATATGTCTAATTTGCATCCCTTTTACAGAAAAGGGATGCAGTCTCGATACAGCCATATTGTATTTTTTACAGGTATCCTATTATGGGCATGAGCCTAGACTGGAAAAGTTGGACCTGCCCCTAGTTTCAAACTACACTAAAGTTTAGCTTTGCTTCCAATTTGGATCCATCTCCTGTTGTTTGGCTAGGAAGCTCTATGCTTTGAGCTTCTAATTAAGTAAATGAACATGCCCCCACACTTTCTATGGAAGAAATGATTACGATCGAGGTTATAATGCCAACATCTGCATCACAGGGGGAAAACAGAATTCTTGATAGTGTGCCTAAACATAACTATAGACAGGGATTTGTTATAATGAAAACTGAATTTGTACCATGCTTCTGACCTGGGAAGGCAGACAACAGCAGTCCTATGGAGGGAGTGCATTATAGAGGACTATACTCCCTGTACTGACAGGAATATTCACAGGAGGCAGCTGTTTGTCCTCTTTGCATCAAACATTTGATTGGTTCATGAGCATGGATCTGGCACTATTTGACAACCCAAATGCTTGGTGGTGATTGACAAATGAGGTGATAGCTGACAGATTTAAGTGTAATCTTGATATACAGTGTCAGCTTAAGAACCCCACAAATATATGAGATAAAAATAGATGTTCCAAAGTCTATTTGAGTTCACTATAGCAGCACATACCATATACTTTTGTAGTTCTTATATCTTCATCTTAGCCTAAAGAAAAAAAAAAACACTGTACCAGTGGCATCAAACCTCCATCTTGTCCCTTGTTGTATTTCAGCACTGATTTGTAGATGTCCAAAAATGATCTTGCTTTTAGACACATAGATAAAATATTATGAGTTGTCTAAGGAGAAAAATCCAGAAATGCACGGAGATTAGCCATCGCTTTTAAAGTGCACAGAGCAGAGAAGAGCAAAAAGACATTTCCAGTCTATCTTTTCAACAAGCAAATAGCTTTAGGTTTTTTAAAAAGGACTTAATTCTTCTTTATACTATGGCCTCTTTGCATTCTCAGAGCCTAAATGAGGGCATGTCTACACTGTAATTGAGAAGTGTGGATACAGCACATATAGAGCTATGCAAGGTAGTTTAGTCTAGATCAAAATTAGTGGGGGCAGATCTACATATGCTGCAATCACACCTCCTGCTTGCAGTGTAGACTTATTGTGAGAGTCGGGCATCTACAAAGACCCTCAGAACACGTTTGAAATGGTTGGAAGGGTGGGTTGGGTTTTTTTTTTTGAATAATCAAAATCAGGTGGTGACAAATAGAGACAGGTTTGTACCCGATCTCTGGATCTAGACACCCTAAAGCTGTATAGAAGTCAATATCTGTTATTGCATCTGATTTTGTACATCCTGCCCGTCTACACTTATACAGGGATTTTAGTTCTCAGGCAACTAGGGCAGGGGTGGTATATCTCACTAGTCAATGGTCTGGTTTGATATCTGGTGGTGAGAAAAAAAGAGAGAATTCACATCTTTTGATTCACAAGGGGAAACTTTGTTGATTGGACATGGGGCAATATCAGAGAGAAAAGTTTGAAGAAATCCTCAGGACCCATCAATTATGTCTTAGTAATTCATTTTTCCTGCCAATGTATATATTGCACCCTAGCCAAGTGAGGTCTAAACAGATTAACGTGAGCTCTTCAACATTTCACCAAAATAAAGCATCCACCTACCATCCACCTTGTGCCTGTCTCTACTCCTTGTTTGGTTTGAGTTTTGCAAAACCAGGGGGGATTTGGGTCTGGATTTCATTTCTTATCTGCCCCATCAAAAATTTAGGAATATTCAGAACAATATGATCCGGTTCTTGTCCGGCTCTGACAGACAGAGGTGTTTAAGCTGTAAAAGGAATTACATTTCAAACTAGTTTCATTGTTTCCTTTCCTCTGTCATCCAAACAATAGCCAGTTGTCACTGCTAATGCAGCCTATTACCCATGGACATTCTTCACAAAGTAGTCACTCCATATCGGATCTCTCACTCCTCAGTCTCAAAGAAAACCTGTACAACACTTTCAAAAGATGAACCTGGGAGTTTAAATTCATAATTCTGGTAAAAACTAAAAAGCACAACCTGCCCTCCCGCTTTTTGTCCTGTGACTACAGAGGTGTTAATGGGCCACTATACCTTGAATGGTTCCTTACATTACAATATATGCTAACTACTTATGTTAACCAAGCTGTTCCATCTTGTGAGTAGTTAATTCAGAATAGATATAATTGTGTTGCATGTTTATAACTAAACGTTAAGGATTTTAATGTCAAAACAGTGATTTTATGTAAAACAAAATGGAGTCAGTTACCTTTGTCTCCTGGGCTTCGTCTCCTGGGCTTCGTCTTAAGTTTTGCCCTCTCCCTCTGGAACGTTCAGAAACCATTGGGGGAACTGCTTCTAACCAGAATTTCCCACCTGGGTGAGAATTCCACTCCCCTCAAGTTTCCCGCCAAGAAGTCTATATAAGACTGAGTGACGCCAGTCACTGCTGTCCATCCCAGAGGCAGCAAGAGCATGGGTCTTCTCTGAAACTCTTCCCCATCAGCTCCTGTGAGGAGAAAAGGAAGAGAAATCCCACCGATTACCCATCAGCGAACATCATCCGCTTACCTGCGTCCCTGAACCGTCTGCAGCCCTCTTTTTTTCCCTGAATAACATTGAGGGACTCAGCGGTCCTTCCCAAAGTCTCTGTGGAGCCCACAGGTTGAAGGTTCTGAGGACCTTTCAAGCAGCAGTCACCATCGGGCACTAGATCATGTTTTTTGCATAGAGATCTCCTTACCTGGATTTGTTTGATGGGGCCAGGGTTTATCAAGCTGGATCTGGGCTTCAACCACTAAATAAGTTACTGTATCACATGTATCACTATTTTCGTTGTTGTTTTATGGGCTTGTATGTTACCTCTCTACCCCAAATTATTTTGTATCATTCCCTAATAAACCAAGATAAAGTGGTTTTTTTTTTTTGTTGTTTTTTTTTTTAAACACAGCCGCCTCTTTATGAAGGGAAGGGGGTTACAGAACACTGGGGTAAACCTCAGGTGACAGACCGTGGACCAGAGGAGCAGGGCTGTGCTCTTCAGCACAGAAAATCAGTCAGGAACCTCACGTCCACACACCTTATTAAACTATTAAAATTCTCTGTGCATTTTGCCATGATGCTGAAACTACTTTTCCTGGACTCTGAGAAAGAGCTGTGTGTGTCTCTCTAACCAATAGAAGTTATCTATTAACATCTCATAAAAGATATTACCTCACCCACTTTTCTCTCAATATTCTGGGACCGAAATAGCTGCAACATAAAGCACAAGCAGGGCTAAAGCCTGTGTTCCTTGCCAATACAAGTGGCAGTATTTATGAGCTGGCGCACACGGCCCATGTGGTGAGAGATTCTGATGCCAGGCAGTGGCCCGATGATATAGCTGACTACAGTTAAAAGTGTGGACGTGCACTGCAGTTCACTATCCACCTGTAACATGGTGCGATTCATCTCCGTAGCCCCTCCTGCTGGTCATGCAGGAATTAGCTCCACTCAGAGCTGGAATGTCCCTTTACGTCCAGTGTGTCATCTACTGTTACCTGTGTGGGTATGTCTAGACTGCATCCCTCTATCAGCAGAGGGATGCAGATTAGGCAGGTCAACATTGCAAATGAGGCAGGGATTTAAATATCCTGTGCCCAATTTGTAGAAAAATGGCCACCGCATTTTGCCGACTCAGCACTTTGCCGCTTTTTGCTGACAGTCTAGGCAGGAGGCGTAAGGAATCTATCTAAAAAGTCAGTCAGTCAGTCAGTCACTCTCTCTCTCTCTCTCTCTCTCTCTCTTTTGAAAAAGTCAGTCTCTCTCACACACACACACAAGACTTGTGCTTTTTTTGCTTACAAAGTGTTGTCAGCAAAATGCGATGGCCATTTTTATGCAAATTAGGCACGGGATATTTAAATCCCTGCCTCATTTGCAATGTCAACCTGCCTAATCTGCATCCCTCTGCTGACAGAGGGATGCAGTCTAGACATGTCCTTTATGTGTTAGTGGTTCTGTGACCTTACATTGAGGCCCATGTCCCTCCCAGACTGTGGCATTCTCCCTCTGGGTGCTGCCCTGCTGCAGCACCCCCACACTGGGGAGTCCTCCCCCTCAGGGAGCCCCCAACCCCCTACACCCACTTTGCCTCAGTCTCTACTGTCAGTGGTCATCTAGCTCCTTACCTCAGGGGCAAACTGCAGTCTGAACTGGCCACTCATCATTAGCAAGGGAGTGAGGACCTGCTGCCTTCTTCTATCCTGGCTGTTTCCCTGCAGCCCCAGCACCCTCAGGCCTTGCCTCAGGCCCTGCAGCCTGAGCGTGAGGTCAGGCCAGAGCTACCCCGCTCTGCCTTCCTTTCCCCAGCATTGCGCTGTCTCAGGAAGCCTCTCATTTCCCTGGACACTAGACCCCTCCTGCTCCCCAACCAGAGCAAGAATGAGCGTTTTCCTTTATTCCAGGAGCCCTTATTTATACAGCTCCAGCTGGCCCTTAATTACCTGCAGCCTCACCTGTGATTGCCTACCACTCAGCCTCTCTAGATGGGTTTTAATCCTTGCGGGGCCAGTGCGGGGCAGATGCCCTGTCACAGCACCCAACTAGCAGCAAAGTGACACACTTACACCCCACAAAGGGAGGTCCAAGAAACAGCCCCATTGAGAAATCACGTGTACCAGTTTGCCCACAGGAAAGTGACCCCATATCCCACTATTTACAAACCTCACCGTGCCCTAATAATGTCACCTCTTCTGCCTGTGACAGCTCTTGACCCCAGGAAGAGCTGAACAACCACCAGCAGAGCTGTCCAAAGCTTGACATTAACTATTATGTCCCTACAGCATTAACATTTTTCATTTTCCATGGACCCCTGCAGTGGAACATCCCCCACCACAGCAACAAAAAAAGTGCACACTTCAGAAAAAGCCAGGAACAGGAGAAGCCATAAAATTTTATCAGAGTGGCGAATGGTTCCAAGCAACAGGGAAGACAGCCAGTGAGTGAAACAGGCCAGTAATAACACCACTAACGTCTCCTCTCTCCAAGCCTCGCTTTTATCTGTTCTTCTTGACCAGCCTTCATTTGTGCCTGGCTGGAAAAGAAGAGGTGTTGAGGAGGAGAGCAGTCAGAATTTTGTGATCGGGATTTCCCCATTAGACAGAGCAGGGAACAAATATGGACATGCACGCTATTTCAGGAGTTGGTTATTTTGCTGGAACAAAATAACTCGGTTGAATGAGGGGCACACCTTTAACATTTCAATCATCTTGCACAAAATATTGGAAAAAAAGAGGTATAGTTCTGAGCTGACGTTTTAAAAAGGGTGTAACTGTAATGAGCGGAGGAGAATGACTCTTGATTTTCTCTGGTGTAAGCCAGACCAGTATGGGTGGCAGGTAATGTAGGCAAGGGAAAGCATTGCCTCACCAAAACTGTTTACACGGCCTGATCATCTGGGAGGGATGGGCCTGTGGTGCAGCAGCCCGGCTCCCCGGATGTCCAGGAGAATTGGGACTGCAGTGAGGCAGCCCCAGCCCTCTGGGTGGCAGGAAGGATCGGGCTTGAGGACTGACCTTGGGTGGGACTTGGCCAGGAAGTGGTGGGAGGGAGGTTGTTGAAAGGGTGTGATCTCAGGAGGAAAGAATGTAGCTTCAGGTGGAAGGGGCGGGGCTTTGTCTTGCCTTCCCCAGCTGGGCCTTCGCCTACCACCCATGCAGACCAGGACATGCATCAAGTGAGAGATTGAATCTACTTAGCAAGAAAGGGATGGATTCTCTACAGGTGGGCGCTGGCATATCTCCATGCAAGTCAATGGAATGATGCAGACCGACACCAGCTGAGAATCTGGCTTTACATCTCTGTTTCTTACAGAAGCCAGCCATGGCTGAGGAACTGCTATCTCTCTACTTTAAAAAAAATTAAAAAAAAAAGCAGTGCTTTTAGAATCTGCTGTCCTGCTGCACTCAGTTCAGACTCTCAGGTGTGCCACTGCTCACCTGCCACAAAAACCTCTTGGTGGATTCAGCCAGCCATGTTTCTGCACAGCAGTCATACAGCATGGATGAGTCCCTGGCAGTGACTCCTGCAGCTGGCTCTAATTCAAAGCCAGAGGCCATGGCTCCCATTGTGTCCATGGAGGCAAAGAGATCCAGCATGATGCTGTGAATATGACTCAATGGAGCGATATTTGGCCAGAATAGTAAGGTCAACACACACTGCACAGGGGATCTCAGTGGGAGGCTGGCTGCAGGCCTGTAGTCCACCACCCTTAAAGAAGAAGCCCATCTTTCATGCTTATGCCCTGATTGGTCTCTGCTGGCCAGCCCGGCTGAGTTCTGACTCATCGCATGACATTTCCGTTCAGTGCAATGTCAGATAGGAAAGGAGCAGAATGTTTGCAGTATTTTATTCTTCCGAAGGGGCAAATTGTGCTCTTTAGGCACAGACCCTTCTCAGGGCATATGGCCAGGCAGCTCAGGAAGGGACAATCTTTCTACAAGGCAAGCAGTTCGGTACACTATAGCAGTGTTTCTCAACCAGTGGTATGAGTACCCTTAGGGGTACTCAAAGAGAAGTCGGGAGGGGGATGGGACATCAATACAACTAAAATTTGGAGAAAACTGAATTTGTGTTTTAGTTTTACAGCGTTTTATTATTTTTGTATATTTTACACCCAAAAATGTCATCGCTCGCATGGCTACGATTAAGTAGCCATTACAACAAGTTGTTTAAACAAA